CAATCCATTTATCAACACCATTGCTGAGTATTTTCTCCTTAAAACTGTAGTTTCCCAAAGGCAGTCACAGAAACGCGGTTTGAAACAGCCTTTGTTTTGCTACGTCACAAAACTCAATAACCAATTGAGTCAAGGGATCCTATCCTTAGCATATCATTAACTGTGCTGCAAAGGGTCTAGTGAGAAGGCAGTCAGGTTAATCCGGTAACAGTTATATTTTTTCTGTAGATGTTTTGCCAACTGTTAATATTTCCCTCGATTTTCACGATGTCATGTGCTGTTAGCGCTTATTTATTTGTATTTAGAACCGCTAACTTGAATAATAACCCGCAGCAGCAGTGTAAAAGTAGCCCGGAGTCAGACGCACCTCTCCCGCATTGGCATCCGCACGTCACACGCGTATGATCGCCGGCACGATTTGGAATCACAAACTTGGCTGCATTTGAGTCTTCAAGGCATTTTGAGGACATAACATCGTCAATTAAGTAAATTTAACGAATGTTACAGTATCCACTGTAGTTGTCCGCTAGTAAAAACTGTTTTATCAGCCATTATCTGTGTATGAACCAGCGCAAACAGATAATGTTACCTCACAAAGTTAGCCATCAGTCTCCTTTCTTACGTTGAGCATACCAGCTTATTTCTGGTTCAAACACATATGGCTTAATTAAACCAATATTTCCACTTGCCATTGCATCGCGTTTACTACAGTTCAGGAGGCGCTGGCTCATGGCTGGCTGCTGTGTGACTGAGTGGCGGCGGGGCTAATTTGCGTATTCATAGATCCGCGTATAGTAAAAGAGGCAAGGGTGTAGCGTTGCATTCAAGCTATTTTAAGGCATGACAATAATTTCACAAGAAAAAAATGTTAATGTCATTTTTATGATCAAAGATGAGTTTTAAAGGATACAATTTTTGACCACAGGGGGACTTTAAATTAAATCACAATTATATAATGAAAGCCATAAAAATCTGTCAATTAATCGTGATAATCGTCATAAAGAGGCAAGGGTGTAGCGTTGCAATCAAGCTATTTTAAGGCATGACAATAATTTCACAAGAAAAAAATGTTAATGTCATTTTTATGATCAAAGATGAGTTTTAAAGGATAAAATTTTTGACCACAGGGGGACTTTAAATTAAATCACAATTATATAATGAAAGCCATAAAAATCTGTCAATTAATCGTGATAATCGTCATAATCGACAAAGCCCTAAAACAGACAATTAATCGCAATAACCATGACTATTTTTAGACAATTATTCGTCAGCCAAATTTCATAATCGTGACAGCCCTATTTTCAATCAATAAAAATGGTCAAAATGAGCACAAGTGTGAATGTGTCAGGAATGGCGATGGCTCACAGATTGTTGATGCTGTTGATGAGTGAGTCGTGTAATGATTTTATCTTTATTTTTCAGCTCTTCCCTGAGATGCGCCACCTCCTTCATCAGTTCTTCCATCTGACACACACAAATACAAAACAAATACTAAAATCATACACAAAAAAATATTAGATTGTATACATATAAATAACGCAAGTGTACAGAATGGAAAAAGGGGTGCATAGAGCTGTTGGTGTCAATTTATAGGCCAAAACGCAAGACTAATTCACCATGGGTTCCCTCTGGAATTACTAATGGCTTTTTACAATAGCAGTTTGCAATTTATGAATATAATAAGGTCTGTGGTAAACATTACTTGAGATATATTAACGCTTCATTCTACCTCATAAATTACACACAGCTCAAATGTGAATTATGAAACGGTGTGCTTTAAAAACACAAGCTACTACACTAGGAACCTCATGCACTTATAGTTTTAGCCTTTATGTAGCAACTTGCTCGCAACATGCATTTTTAACAGCTTCAAAGTTTGTGTTTTAAGATATGAATGCGTGTAATTTATGCTATAGAACAAACCGGGACTATTTCTTCCAGTATAAGCATTTAGAATTTTAAAACCACATTTATAGATACACATTAGAAATTCCTGAGGGAGCCCATGGCTTGAAAATGCCAATGTTCTTTTTCAGGGTTTAGGACAACAAGCTGAACAGCTCTATTCAGGTGGGTGTTTATGGGATGTTACAGACCTGCTGGGCTCTGCTGTCATCTCCTCTGGAATCCAAACTCTCTGGAGTAATCTCACCATCATCCATCTACATAAAATTACAATTTATTCAGGAGTTAAAATGCTCATGTTTACAACTTATCCGGTTCTTTTATTCTTTCCTTCTTTTTGTTTTAGCCCTACACACATACTAAAAGCTGCTCAGAGGGTAACAGCTGGGTTTGCATATGTAAGTGCAAATTTGACTCTTCCAGCTGTGTGTGTGTGGTACCTGCAACAGACTCTTAAGTTTGAGCAGCTGTGATTTGACAGATGAGCAGTCCTCCGTCATGTGCTTGAGAGTGAGTTCATCTAGCGCCACCGTGTGACTGTCATGCTGAACTGCAGGATGGAAGGGCCGATGGCCTGTATGACAGGCATCATAATGAAACCCAGCCAGCCTAAGTAAGAGAGAGTTCAGATTTAATATAATTTATAGAAAGAAAAACAAGAACAAGAAACAAAAATCAGCATCAAAGCATTAAATAAAAACTTTCTTGATCTTTGAAACCATAAGTGATGAAAACAAACTGTAACTTTCAGAAGTCAAAACTTTCTCTCCAGTTCAAAAAGACTGCAAAATCAGCCAAATTCCAAACTTCATGATGTCAACCAGAATGCACAGACTACTTAGTCGTCAGATGACTATTTACACAACAACGTCTATTCAATGTTCAGGAGATTGGCATTATTATTTCTAAATCACCAGAAGATATTTTTATTCCTGTATATATCTTGCAATTAAAGTTTCCTTAATGTGGCTGAAGTTTATTTTTAACAATGTCTCTCATATCAACATTCTGAGTTCTGTTTCATCACTCTGACTAACATGTGTGGCATATTTCAGTGCAGTTGCTTTGTTAACTTGTAACAATCTACACTACCATTCAAAAGTTTGGGGTTTTTATATAATTTCTGAAAGAATTAATACTTTTATTCAGCAAGGATGCATTAAATTAACCAAAAGTGACAGTAAATACATTTATAATGTTGCTGTTCTATTTAAATGAATGCTGCTGATAATACATTAATAATAATCAGGTTTCTTGAGCACCAAATCAGCATATTAGAATGATTTCTGGCAATATGACACTGAAGATCGGAATTATGGCTGCGTGCTGGGTATAGTTTTGCGGCCACAGAAATAAATTACATTTTAAAATATATTAAAATAAAAAACAGATATTTTAAATAGTTATATTTCATAATAGTACTTTTTTTACTTTCAAATAAATGCAGCCTTGGTGAGCATAAGACACTGCTTTCAAAAATATTTTTAAAATGTTACCGACCCCAAACTTTTAAACAGCTGTTCATGAAAGTTGGTGCAGCACAAATTATAATTAACTATAATGCACTAATGAAAATTTCATTCTGAGGGTCAGAGATAGGGTAAAAAATGATAATGAAAAAATAAACTATATTAAATTAACTATTAATAATGTTGCTGATGCAAAAAAAAAAAACTATTATGAATGGATCTCAGAGCAAAATAAATATTCAGAGGTTTAATATAATATAATTAAAATAATTAACCCTGTATTATACATAGTGGTGGGCGGTATGACCAAATAATAATATTAATATTAATTATAAATATCACACTCATTAATATCATGGTATTTTTCAAAATTATACTGGTTTCACGGTATATGACGGTATTTTTATTTTTATTTATTTTTTTCCATGCATGACCGGGTGTAAACCACATTTTCTACTGATTGAGAGAGGAAATAGGCTACTGCAGTAGATTGACTTAGAATGCCCTATTTTACTGTCATGATGAGTGAATATTGTCGAAAAATTCCACTCTAAATAGTGACGAAACACCACCCATTTGTACATGTTAACCAGGAGTCACTCATTTATAATCGCGACATTGTCTGATAAAATCAACATGCATGTACAGTAGATGCATGTTGAGCGGCTATGCGGTGGTTTTGGCTATTTTACTTTGTCTCATGCAGCACACTGCCTGCGTCTGAGTAACAACAACAACAAAAAAAACTGCATTTTCTTAATAGACGAACTATGCTCATATTTATCTGGTTTTGGCTATTTTACTTTGTCTCATGCAGCACACTGCCTGCGTCTGAGTAACAACAACAACAACAAAAAAAACTGCATTTTCTTAATAGACGAACTATGCTCATATTTATAATTCCAAACAGTCAGTAAGTGGCAGGTGCTTGGAAACGCTGTTTGTACTCATTTATTGGCGAGTCGGCTGTGGTACGGCCAGCTGAAAGTGATGCTGCGATATTTGTGGCGGTCAGTGGATATTGTGGATGTGTTCTTCTGTGTCATCACGTTCAACTAATTCTACAGCTTCAGTTTCGGAACTTTCACGCTTAGTAACACATACAGCTGTGTCCTCGCAACAGTGAAAAGAGACCCCCCCTCAAACGCGTTCCGAACATTATTTAAACGACACCGGTATTGCGGTATTTTAAAAATTCATATCATAAGAAAAATAAACACCAGAATTCGGTATGAACTGGTATACCGCCCAGCACTAATTATAAATTTTACAGTTCTAGTCCTGGATGCTATATATAGTATTCCACTTAGACTAAAATATAATTTATAGTAAATATATAATAATATATAATGGCATACTTTTAAAATATAAAAATATAAACCCTAACAGCCACCTATGTGAAACCGCTCTTGATTGCGGTATGCAACACCCACTTTTCATAATCCAATGAATTTCTGTTCTACATTTTTACTATCATGTTTAATTAGGAAATGTGTGTTCCAAGGCATTCACCTGTTGTCATTATGAGCATGATCCATTCCACTCCATCTCTGTTGTCTCCTCCTCCATTGAGTCGGCCGGCCTCCCCTGTCAGAGCGCTCGAAGTGGGCCATCCCATCTGCATGCACAGAGGGGTCAACAGTAGTCAATGACAAATAAACAAATGCACTGAACAACCGCCCACAACCCAATTCACTTTTAAACACACAATTCAGTTAGTCTCCAAGAAACACTCAGATACAGACACACACTCCTTGGAAAAAGAAGGTCATCTTTCTCTGGGAGGTTGAGCTCTTAGAGTTTCGATACAAAGCATTCACACCGCCCGAGGCGAGATATCAGGGCAAACTTACACTAACACACTCTGAGGCATACAAAATCTCTCTGTCTCTCTCTCACACACACACACACACAAGCACTCTTTCAATCTTTCTATACACTTCTAGCATAGAATAAGACAGTATAAGAAGAACAGACAGAAAACTAAGCTCCAAAAACAGACCTGCTACATTCCTCTTGTCCTTGCTGTCTGGTTCACTGCCAGAGCCTCAAAAACAGACTCAAAAAACAGTCCAAAACTCACCCACACGAATACAAATAACATTAGAACTAAGAGCAGAGATGGTCTGTTTTGACTGACACATCAAAAAGAAAAGGTTGAAATGCAGCTGGACAAAAATTCCCCAAAGTTAAAAATTCCAAAGTTGTGTGGTGTATAACTCCAAAACAAAAGTACTTACAAAACTTTCAAAAATTGACCAAATTCCTATGACTTTCTCACTGGCCAGCCGAGCATCTGCGAATCCAATAACTTTTCCACCCTGTTAAAACGTGGGAGAGTTTGTGAGTTCTGGGAACTCCCTGGGAGATTTAACCAGAACCAGAGACACACAGCTGTAATCCCTGAGCCGTAGGGCCTTCAGAAGAGAAGGGGAACTGATGGTAGTGCTCTCGACCGAAGTCGGCACAGCCCTAGGGCAGGGTCTCCCCTCTGGTCACAGGAACTAGGGTCAAAACAGCAGGCCTTCCTGCCTACCAATTGGAGGGATCAACCATGGAAGGAATGAAGGAGGGAAGGAGACAGACAGACAGGGAGGGGAGAGACAAGGGGGAGGGGGTTCTGATGTCATCTATTCCCTCCTCTGGCTCTACAACCCCCTTCACATGACTGCAGGGCATGATGCCCGGGGCTATAAATACAACACACACACACACATACCACACACATACACAGAACTGTAAAACTGACTGATTCCTACTGATGGCTCAGGCCAAAATACTGAAAGTAAACATGACAAAACTCAAAAACCAAGCAAAAATACACCAATGCTCATAAGAAACTTTTTTTTTAACATCTGAGCCACCAAACAGCTGAAAGAACGGTCCCAAACAAGGGATTGTGCTCGTCATTCCTGTACTCATTCATTTAAATGTCATCTGTGAAGAGTATGTAATGAAGTGTATTGTTTGCCATCTCTAATGTGGAATTTGTCTACGTACACAAGACTCTGGAATCTGCAGAACCCGTAACCACCCTGTGACCTCACTCGCACACTCTAAAATCACACTCTGAGATTGAAGAAAACAGGAAGCGACATTAGGACATTCTCTTCCAAAACTGAGAGTTTATCTGAGAGTCACTCGGATGATTCAGTTGACATTCAGTATTCAGGATTTCTGGCAGGGGCGGTCTATGCCTGTAACTCATTCATGACAGGCAAGTAACACAGGCACTATTGTATGTACTGTTTAACAGTATGTGCCATTACAGGACAGTTAGTGCAATATAGCAATATACACTTCCGTTCAAATGTTTGGGTTCGATAAGATTTTATGTTTTTCATAATTTAATGCGTTCTTGCTGAATAAGAGTATTAATTTATATATTTTTTTTAAATGTTGAACTGTAGTGTATAATGTTGCATTAATAACTAATTTATGTTTTTTTGACAGTATTTGGCAATTGACATGCAAAGTCAAGCAGTGACAGCAGTGTCTTTCAGTGTAACTTCCAAAACTTAGTCTAACACTACTTTAGGTATTTTTCAATTTTTTTTCTAATTCTTGATCATTATTATGCATGCATTTAATGTCCTCAAATTAACTGGAAGACTAAATTTAAGAAAAATTATACATTTAATATTAATATTTAAATAATTATATATTTATACATTTATACATTTAAAAATGAATGTCACATTACAGCACTATTAAATTAACTGCACAGAAGCCAAAAGGTGAATAAAAATGGAAAATAACTTAAAATACTTACACATTCATATGAAATAGGTATTTTGACCTAATATTTTAGGTTAATTTACTATAATGTTTTGCTGGGGGAATAAGTAACCATATAAGCTTTAACTCATGATTCATCCATCAAACATATCAAAAAACAAAGCTCCAAACAGCCAACAGTCATATAATAAATAATCCAGAAAAAGCCCTTCCCACACTGTCTTGAAAAATAATACACTAGCTTTTGGAAAGTAAGTCCTGGGTTCTGGGTTAGCCAGTCATGTCAGATCTCTACAACACTTTACATTCCACAAAACATGAATTCAATTACAAAATGATATATTAAATCCAACTGAATTAATGATATCCTGATTTCAATCTCTTCATCACATTAAATTCATTCAAATCACACCGAGCTGAAGGAAACTCTGACATGGCCATCCGTACAAAAGTCATTCACATTCAAAATAGTGATTATCACTTGCACTTGGCTGTGATCTATCAACAAAATGATTAAAACTGATCAACTATCATTATCTTAGCAAACGGAAGATGAATTAATAGATCAAAGATAAACGCAAGGATGATTATATTAGAAATGTAATTCAAGTGGACTATTGTGGTTACAAAAGTAAATAGCTGATGATAAACTCCTGTACTGGTGTTCAAAAGAATAAGAGAGACATTTATTTATTAAGCAATTTATTCACCAGATTTCCAAGTTTTGAGAAAATTGATGCAGGTGTGACCTATTTCTATTAAACTTTTCATATCTGTAAGCACTTTAGACATCAAACAGAAGGCAGCTTTGGCTTATTGAATGATTGCTGGATATACTACTCAATTACACTGTATGTTTGTGTGTACTAACCACTGAGTAAGGTCCTGCCCTCTGACAGATCCACATCAAGCATGAGGTCATCATCTTCCAGGTCACATGAGCCAGTGTTATCCAAGTTGTTCAGAATGTCCTGTGCATGAGAAACAACAAATGAGAGAGAGTGCGTTTAATAGAGATGGAAACATGCATTACATTTACCAGAAAAGACATTTGTGGTAATTCACTCACACTCTTTATGCAAGGACAATCGCATAAAAGAAAGGGAATAAAATAGATACAGCCACCAAAAGCTACATGAAAACTAAATGTTTTTCGCTTAACATGAAGAGCACATATATATATATATATATAAAAACGACGACTTCTCGGGCCATCTGATTATTTGAAAATCCAAAAGCACACCAAGGTGAAAATCAATATGCCTCAACAAAACCTCAATTTGCCCTCAGACAAAAAATGAAAGAGGACATTTCAAGCTGTGTGGCAGACGCACAAGGGGCAGTTATCAGCTATTGCGGTGCTGTTTAATGCATTTTAAAGCGATTCTGAACATCAAGTCTGGCACGGAGAGTTCAAAAGAAAATAAGATCTTTGAAGAAAGATGTTCTCCCATTTCTATGTGCTAAAATATGGTAAGAAATACCATAAAACAAGACCTCACGGCTTAGCCTTGATTTGGACAACATGAAGAAATTACTCTGATGTGGCTCATCTTAAAAGTGTTTCTCAAGAACCGCTCTGAACTGATTTCAAGGTTGGGAGTAAAATTTGAGAGCAGGAGTGAGTCTTAAAGGCCTGGAACCAATTGAAAGGATATTTAGCTCATTTATTTCATGATTCGTCATTTCCAAAACATACCAAAAATACTGCATGGCACTATCAGGGGTTAAAGCAAAAAAATCCTGAGCCTGATCTTTTTTCCGGGGGTTGCGGGGGTGGACACTTACACAGGGTTATTTGGCAAAAAAAAAAAAAAAGAGAACATTATTTGAAAATGATTTTCCTTGAAACTAACTAGTAACATATCTGCCCTTGCCATTAGCCCTTGACAAACTCAGACTACAGATTATGGTGGGCTATTTGAAACAGCAATACCAGGAAAGGTTACTCACTATAATGCAAACACATGTAACGTATATCCTTGACAGGGTACAAGATGCCCTACAATTTAAAACATGACATTTCTGAAATTGTTTTGTTCAAAAGAAATAATAGTAAATTAAATACTAGGAAATGAATATAAAATAGGAAATATACAAAGACCATTTACTACAGAAAACTACAGTTCAGTTCAATTAACAACAACAAAATAAAATGCTCCCAAGAACTGGTAACTTAAACGGCCGATACCGATAACAGAAAAAATTAGCATTTATCGGCCGATACCGATATGGTGGCCGATATATCGTGCATCCCTAGCTTTAACTCATGATTCATCCATCAAACATATCAAAAAACAAAGCTCCAAACAGCCAACAGTCATATAATAAATAATCCAGAAAAAGCCCTTCCCACACTGTCTTGAAAAATAATACACTAGCTTTTGGAAAGTAAGTCCTGGGTTCTGGGTTAGCCAGTCATGTCAGATCTCTACAACACTTTACATTCCACAAAACATGAATTCAATTACAAAATGATATATTAAATCCAACTGAATTAATGATATCCTGATTTCAATCTCTTCATCACATTAAATTCATTCAAATCACACCGAGCTGAAGGAAACTCTGACATGGCCATCCGTACAAAAGTCATTCACATTCAAAATAGTGATTATCACTTGCACTTGGCTGTGATCTATCAACAAAATGATTAAAACTGATCAACTATCATTATCTTAGCAAACGGAAGATGAATTAATAGATCAAAGATAAACGCAAGGATGATTATATTAGAAATGTAATTCAAGTGGACTATTGTGGTTACAAAAGTAAATAGCTGATGATAAACTCCTGTACTGGTGTTCAAAAGAATAAGAGAGACATTTATTTATTAAGCAATTTATTCACCAGATTTCCAAGTTTTGAGAAAATTGATGCAGGTGTGACCTATTTCTATTAAACTTTTCATATCTGTAAGCACTTTAGACATCAAACAGAAGGCAGCTTTGGCTTATTGAATGATTGCTGGATATACTACTCAATTACACTGTATGTTTGTGTGTACTAACCACTGAGTAAGGTCCTGCCCTCTGACAGATCCACATCAAGCATGAGGTCATCATCTTCCAGGTCACATGAGCCAGTGTTATCCAAGTTGTTCAGAATGTCCTGTGCATGAGAAACAACAAATGAGAGAGAGTGCGTTTAATAGAGATGGAAACATGCATTACATTTACCAGAAAAGACATTTGTGGTAATTCACTCACACTCTTTATGCAAGGACAATCGCATAAAAGAAAGGGAATAAAATAGATACAGCCACCAAAAGCTACATGAAAACTAAATGTTTTTCGCTTAACATGAAGAGCACATATATATATATATATATAAAAACGACGACTTCTCGGGCCATCTGATTATTTGAAAATCCAAAAGCACACCAAGGTGAAAATCAATATGCCTCAACAAAACCTCAATTTGCCCTCAGACAAAAAATGAAAGAGGACATTTCAAGCTGTGTGGCAGACGCACAAGGGGCAGTTATCAGCTATTGCGGTGCTGTTTAATGCATTTTAAAGCGATTCTGAACATCAAGTCTGGCACGGAGAGTTCAAAAGAAAATAAGATCTTTGAAGAAAGATGTTCTCCCATTTCTATGTGCTAAAATATGGTAAGAAATACCATAAAACAAGACCTCACGGCTTAGCCTTGATTTGGACAACATGAAGAAATTACTCTGATGTGGCTCATCTTAAAAGTGTTTCTCAAGAACCGCTCTGAACTGATTTCAAGGTTGGGAGTAAAATTTGAGAGCAGGAGTGAGTCTTAAAGGCCTGGAACCAATTGAAAGGATATTTAGCTCATTTATTTCATGATTCGTCATTTCCAAAACATACCAAAAATACTGCATGGCACTATCAGGGGTTAAAGCAAAAAAATCCTGAGCCTGATCTTTTTTCCGGGGGTTGCGGGGGTGGACACTTACACAGGGTTATTTGGCAAAAAAAAAAAAAAAGAGAACATTATTTGAAAATGATTTTCCTTGAAACTAACTAGTAACATATCTGCCCTTGCCATTAGCCCTTGACAAACTCAGACTACAGATTATGGTGGGCTATTTGAAACAGCAATACCAGGAAAGGTTACTCACTATAATGCAAACACATGTAACGTATATCCTTGACAGGGTACAAGATGCCCTACAATTTAAAACATGACATTTCTGAAATTGTTTTGTTCAAAAGAAATAATAGTAAATTAAATACTAGGAAATGAATATAAAATAGGAAATATACAAAGACCATTTACTACAGAAAACTACAGTTCAGTTCAATTAACAACAACAAAATAAAATGCTCCCAAGAACTGGTAACTTAAACAGGGTCCGTACAGATACTGCAAAATGAAATTCCAGGACTTTTCAAGCACTACTCTTTTGGTTTTCAAGGACTAAATTCAGATCTCACTTTTCACTTAAAAAATGTTATTGTCTTTCAAATTCTAATATATAAACTAATAAAACAAATGGTACAAATAAAGTGCAGCTCATGCAAAGAATGCAATGACTGTGGCAACTTTAACATTTGAAAGGATACTATGGCAAAATTATCGCTTTCCTTATTCAAACAAATTTTTTTTTCACGAGTATATGATTGACCTAAAGAATGAAAGTTAGGCTATATCATACACTTGGAAAATTATGAGCTATATCACCACTTATCAACACTAGGGGTGTGACAATAAACTTAGCTCAGTTTAGAGCTTAGACAAAATGCATATACTTGGTTCAATAGAACGAGACAATGTTTTAATACTTTAAGAAATATTTGAATGACAAAATATTTGTCTTTTAATTACAAAAAATAGAACAATGCAGTTATATTTTGAAATGTTTTAACAAATCTAGGGCTTAACTAACAATTATTTTGTTAATCAAGTAATCTACTGATTATTTTGACAAGTATGTTTTAGTAATACAAATAGAACTAAGTGAAAAACAGGCTTTAATATGACTATATTTATATATAAACTACTGATGAGGAAATAATAATTGGCTCAAATAAAGTATCAAAACCAAGTACATGGTTTTATTGAACAACTGTTAAATATATAATGTAATATGCCTATATTATAACAAATACCTGCAGAGGGCGCCAACAGGCTGGTGATGTTTCATGTGATTCAACGACGTTTAAATCCATTTAATTGCAATATTTGGCCATATTGAGAAACTTTTATTTTGAAATCGCGATCTACAATAAATCGCATATTTAGAAATATGTTGATGTATTCTGTGTTGGCATAGGTTTATAAATGACTTAAGTTACAAATTAAGTGAGATAACGCACAGTTTTCCCAGATGAACGTTAAGCAACCCAAACTCACCGCATATGCAGAGGAAGATTTTAGCCCCTTTCACACAGTCTTCACTGGTAAATTGACGTTAAGAGATCATGTGTGAACAGGACCTTTTCAAAACTACAGGTAAATTTGTTCTGCCAGTCATATCGTTCTTATGGAGATGACGTGATTACTCTGAGCTGTTTACAAAGCTCCGTTAATTATATAGAAAATAGTCATGTTAGTTTGGTTGAGAGTGAAATCTGTGTTCCTCTCAAACATTGGTAGGCGAACTCATTAACTCGAACGTGATATCAACAAGTTTTTATTTTTATTTTATTTTTTTAAATGTAGGAGGACTATCTTATTTTCCCTCAGCTAAACGCCACATGCCGGAAATCCGGCACAGTGCCGGAGAACTTTAAGCCCTGCACTAATGTTGTGTTAAATATTGCGACCATTATGTTGTGTTTAAATACAACTTTTTAAATTGTGACAATGAAAAATTCTGAAGGATGATGTGACACAAAAGACTGGAATAATGGCTGCTGAACATTTAGCATTACTGATTTTACATCAAACAATGCAGCCTTAGTGAGCATAAGAGACTTCTTTCAAAAACGTATTACTTCATATTACATTGAAATTATTAAAGAAATAGTTTACTCAAAAATGAAAATTCCTTATGACTTTCTTCAGTGGAATGCAAACAGTGAACTTTTAAAGAATATTGGATGCAGACTGGAGCTGTCCAGTTTAAAACAGAATGTAAAAGCAGCATTAAAACAGTCCTAAAATTAGTCCACACAACTTGTATCCAAGTATTCTGATGGCAAACAATAGGTTTATATGAAAAACAGACTGAAATTTAAGTCATAATTTACTGACAATCTTCCATTTAAGTGGGCTGTTAATCTGCCAGATCAAGTCGGTGAGAACTCCAGAAACCGATCAGTCTGATTTGTAAAAGAATCATTCAGCATTCGATCAGCAGATTCATTAAAAAGATTTTACACCAATGAATGATTTACTCACGAATCAGACATTGCTACTTATGTCATTAACAGTTCACAGAGAGCTAAGGAAGATTCAAGATTTTCATAGTATAATGACTTTATAATGACTACTTCTGCCTTTTTATCCCACAAAATGGCTTGAAGACCTTTAATGTAGTGCATGAATCATATGGACCATATTTGTTTGTCATTTTGGTGCTCAAGAGTCCTGGCCATCATTCATTTTCATAATTTTGAAAATAATAGCCAGGATATTCTTTAAGAAAAATCTTCTTTTGTGTTCCACAGAAGAAAGAAATGATGTATGGAGTAAATGACAGAATTGTAATTTCTGACTGAACTATCCCTTCAAGCTATGTTAAATACATTGGCTTTTCTAAATGGGGGACTTTCTTGCAAAAATAACAGTACATTATGAAAGTTTCTGCATAATTTCCCATATTTCATAAACAGCAGGCAGCTGGGGAAAGAACCACAGTACAAATATGCTCTCAGTATACTTTAGAAAACATTATCAACCATGCAACTATGATACATTCATAGAACAAAAACGTCTCTTCAAGTCATCTAAGCTGACAAGACGTCCTCCAATCCCATCCATCATATAAATATGTACTTAAAAAGAGACAGGCCCCTCTCCAGGACATTAATACATACACACACACAATGTACTGTCTTACAAGTGTACACAAAATGTGTATTCTAAGCAGTCAGAGTTCATACACTTCACCTACACATGCATAGTCTCTCAGGTCCCTCTCTCTCTGACTCTCTCCATGTATAAAGGAGCTTAGTCACGGCAGGTTGCTTCAGAGGAAATGACATTTCACTGCGCCGGGCGGCAGCTTAGATATGCAGCCCAAGCTCCATCATCACCCTCCTCCTGTGCTGAAAGATCTGGAATAACATAGCCCATTTCACATCGGCCTGCGCGAATCAGCCGGGAAGATCGGATTAAAGGTCCCTTTAGAGCCAGACCGATACAGACAGAACCTCAGATAACATTTAAGGAAGGTCCTATCGAACAAGCCCAGAATCCGGATCACATTTCACACAATCTGAGTGGTGCGCTCGGGAGTGAAACATCATATTAGGGGGGGATCAAAAGGAATGCGTTTGAATTCCTGAATCATATTACATACATGACACAATTACTCAGACACCTACAGATATACTTTGAAAAGAGCCAAACTTTCAATGGTAATTTAAAAAAAGAGGTCAATGTGCATGTAATTCTAAAAGTATATGTATATATATATATATATATATATATATATATATATATATATATATATATATATATATAGAGTGACAGAAAGGTTTATTATTATTAAGAAATGTAAACTTTTTCCATCAAGAAAGATTTTATTTTTGTATTTATTTTGTAGGTAGTGTGTATGCTTATGTTTATGGATCAAAACACTTTCTAAATATCAATATTTACTGCATTATATAAAATATAATCAGTTCAAATAGTTAAAAATGTCATAAAACTTTGATTCGTGTATTTTTCCAAAAATACTCGTATCAAAAATTTGATGTTTTTAATGCCTAATTAATATTTTTATTTGTAAATAATAATAAACTGTTATGCATGTTTCATAATTAATTAAATGCAGTTTAGATCTCTTTTCCCAGCACACGCTGGCTTCGAATGACCTATGAACTTTGTTACAGGACCAAACATGCAGTACATTTTCATGTACCTCTTAAGACAATGTATAAAACATTAAACTCACAATTGTAAAGACAGAAATCATATTAGTTAGTTTAGGTATTACAGGAGCACAATTAAGTTCCTATATCAGTAAA